AAAAAATTGAACGCGATAAAACCCGTAAACTATTTTTATTCTATGATAGAAATAAAATTAAAGATCTCAAAAATATTATTTATTTTTTTATATTGTTTCGATTTTTTCCTGAAATATGGTTCTCATTTAATATAAATCATACGTAATTCAAATATTTATTTTCTGTAAGAACGACATATAATGGAAAAATACTGTAACTAAGCAACTTTTTTCTGCAATAATGACACAAATGAGTACCGCATGGCGTTTTTCTTTATCATGTGAACACAGTACATTTAAAATATAAATTTATTATTTATTTTTAAAGTTCATTAATCATTAGAAGCAATCTATATCAGTTAGTAAATTGAAACTGTTTTATTGTTAAAATACATGAAGTTCAGTTTAAAACTGCTCTCCTGTAAAATGACGATTATTGTGTTATGACTGTCTTGCAATAAGTGAGCGACATTAATCTGATAGTATTATATATTTATGGACCAATAAGACTGCGTGTGGCCAGTGATGAGCTATGGAATTGAGACGAGGCCCTTCACTGCTGGCCGGATGAGGAAACTCAAGGTCGCTCAGCAAGCTATGGAATGGGCTATGCTTGGAGTTTCTTAACTTAGAAATGATGATATCCGCAGTAGAAACAGAGTGACCGGCGTAGCCCAACAGATTAGTAAGCTGAAGTGGTAGTGGGCCGGCCATATAGCTCGAAGAACCGACAACCGATGGGGAAGAAAGGTTCTTGAGTGGCAGCCTCGTACCGGTAGGCGAAGTGTCGGGCGACCCCCCGCGAGATTGAGTGACGACCTGGTAAGACATGCAGGAAGTCGATGAATGCAAGTGGCTCAGGACCGTGCTTCGTGGCATTCCTTGGGGGAGGCCTATGATCAGCAGTGGACTTGTGAAGGGTTGTAATGATGATGATAATGAATAAGACTCACATTTATTATTTTGATTTTGGCAAAAAATATCACAAAATATGGACCCGATGCACCGTAGTAGAGCCATTTATACATATTTGCAAATATATTTAGATATTTATGCTCGTATGTTTTTGTGCGCGTGCTGTTTTTATTAAACTTCGAAATGGTTGGATCAAATGTAATAAAACTTTGAGAATACCTAGAATGTATTGCCGGCTGTTATTTAGGCTATTATATTTTCTATCGGAAAACATGCATCAATAATTTATGTGATGCAAAATCGATTTATATTTTTTTATTCAAAAATATTTTATTATAAAACTTTGAGTATTAAAGAAACGTTTTTTGTATGTGAAATTAATAGATATTGCTTTTATTTATTTTTATTTTTTTTAAATTTCCTTATTCAATTTAAAAAACTGAGTTTAAAGTGGTTTGTGAAAAGTCGTTCGACAGTTGAAATAAATGTGCAAATACTACTATTATAGATCTGACGGATTTTATGTTTAAGTTTTACGCGGACGAAGTCGCGGGTAAAAGCTGGTCAATAAATATATTTACACTAATGAGGCTGGCATGAATCAAGAGTAAAACTTATTGAAAAAGGCAGACCAACATCTATTGGGCCAGCTTGTATCTTAATAAATTACAAGTATCTTAATACTTGATCCATTTTTTATTTTAAGTTAAGTTAGACATTTATTATTTGAAAATATAGTGAAATTAGAAATTTTTACAGAAGAAAGGGTAATAAAGGAACACATAGTCCACCTGATAGTAAATGGATGCGCAACTTTCGCGCCATGCGCGCCCCATCTAACTTCACTCGTAATTTAGAATCAAAATTCAGATGCATTGTTACCCCTGAGGATTGAAATGAGATACCTTATTACTAGTAAAAAAGGTCTCCATTTCTTGTCTTTCTCATGAAACTCAACAGCATTATGCTGCTATTTCACGCTGGCATTTGTGTGAGCTTACTTCCTCAGTACAGCTGACTCATGCGCCCGGATGCGTGACTTTACCAAGTAAGAGCTATAATGTTACTACACTATATTCTCATCTGCTTTTTTGACTGACTTTTAATTTTGTAGCCTTTTGAGTGGATTAAAGAATTACTCAACGCCCATGATGTTACTATATTTAATTTTAAAAATTACAGCCACTGATAAAGAAACCCATTATCAGTTTACCATGAACGAATATATTTTTATGAAGGTGGCTAAAAATAAGCGATAATAATGTTGTGCGCCACTATTAATGTCTTGTACATGGCAAGACTAGTCATCACTAGCGCTCTATAGTGTCGAGTAGCAGAACTAGGAGAGTCAAGATCCTTCTAGAAATTTCGGGACCGATATATACTTGAACATTCTGGATGTCGCTATAGTAGAAGGTTCTGGAAACTATCTGAGGCCCTATATAAGGCCGGTATAGACCACGACCGGAGCAGTATTGAATTGGCGATATAAGCGAATACTTCGAAGCGATACAACGGCGAACTAGTGATCAGTAGTAAAATTGTGTTCTATTTTTAATGTGGTTTTAATTTGTAATTAGTATTTCGTAATTAAAGAGTCGATTTTGGTAATTCAATCTGCAGTTTTTAATTGTCTCGAACACCAAGCTCGTAACAAATGGTGTCAGAAGTGGGATCAAATCATGCCGATTTTACCGAAGGACGACATAGAGGGTATCCGTACCCGAAGTCAACGCCAGCTGGAGACGGACCAGAGATGATTTGGTGATGCATCGCCGCAAACGTCGAAGGGCCAGCTGCCGACCACGGAGGCCGGCCCGTCAGCAGCTCCTGCATCTGCAGCACCTGATCTAGGTGCTCTGATGATGATGCTGCAGGAGCAGGCCCACCAACAGGATGAGCAGTTCCACCGACAGGAGGAACAGGACCGTTGGTTGAAAGAGCACCTGCAGCTCGGTATAGAAGAGCAGATGCTCCTCAGGAAGGACCTTCATGCTACCTTTGGGAAAGAGATAAAGGAGGTGAAGGATAGGGTTGCTCAACATGACAACCGCCTGTCGGAAGCTGAAACCCGAATCGACCAAGTGAACAATCAGGTTGACAACGTGATGGCTGACGTGAAGAAAACGCTCTACAACCTCAAACTTGGGGATGGAATTACAGCTACCGTGGTAGCTACTACACCTTCGCTACGTGGATTCAAAGTGCCACCGTTTGACGAGACTTCTTCCTGGTCGGCCTACAAAATCTAGTTCGAGGCTGTCATGAAGGCCAATGGCTGGAATAAAAGTCAGGCCATGACTGCTGTCACCCTAAAACTGCGCGACCAGGCCTTAACTGTTCCGGAAGCTCTTGGTAAGAAAGTGACTTACGATCAGCTCCTTGAGGCGTTGGAGGCGAGATATAGCGACGATCACCTGGAACACATCTTTCTTGCGCAGCTCAAATATCGCGTGCAACGCCGCAATAAAAACCTGTAGCAGTGGGCCCTTGAGGTAGAAAAGCTGGTTTGAAAAGCATACCAGTCTGTACCTGCGCTCATTGTAGGGAACCTGGTTCAGACATTCATCGACGGCATCCATGACCTTAAAGTCAGAGCTGCTGTGAGGTTCGGGCACCACGAGACGCTTAAAGATGCCTTAACCCATGCACTGGAGGTGGAAGCCGTGCGGCAGGATCATCGTTCCTATCGCGTCAGGGAGGTTGCAGCAGCTACAGTTCGGGACCGCAAAGACGCCTACAGCCTTAGGTACTACAGCTGTGGGGGAAGGGGCCATCTCCGATTCAGCTGCCCCAAGCGAACTGTAAGAAGGGAAAGTGATCGATCTCGAGAGGGTAGTGCGGCTAACAGCACCGCCCAGCAGCAGCAGGGAAACTGGCGGGTGCTGGCTGATGTTAAAAGAGCCCCAAGGATTTCGATCTCACAAACCCGTGATGGGAACAGCCTAATCATCAAGGGCGAGGTCAACGGAACGCCGTGTAAACTGGCCATAGACACTGGAGCCTCTCGCACGGTTGTCAGTTCCCAACTTATAAGTCAGTTCCTTGGGGACTCTGCATACAACCAAGAACGCATTAATTTGGTGACAGCCACCGGTCAGCGTATACCCGTCCGTGGAGAGAAGGAGATGGAGTTGAAGCTAGGCAACATGATCTACCTGCATAATGTCATCGTGGCTGATATAATGGACGCTGCATCCTGGGCCTAGACTTTATGAGGAAGAATTGTTGTGAGATCGACGTTAAGCAAAGTGTTTTAAAATGTGGACAAGAGGAACTTTTCGTGGAAGGGGCGTTACCAGGGAATGTGTACAGCTTTAAGAAGATTGTTCTTCCGCCGAGATCGGAAACGATTGTGCGCGTTAGACTTCTTCGGAATCCTGGATAAACTCTTCGTTGTGTACTCGTAGAAAGGGTACACAATGACTTTCCATCGAAAGTGGCTCGAACCTTGGTCAGAACCGCCGACATCTCAGGAGTACGTGTGCTGAACCATTGTGATCAGGAACATATTATAGAAAAAGGCACATTGGTAGGTACTAGTGAGGAAGTGGATTGATTCCGTCGGTGCCAATATCTATCGACTGGGACCCCCAGCAAGTATGGACAAATGAGAGTGACCACATTTTTAGAAGACTATCGCAGCGTCATTACCCCGAACGAAATGGTCAAGGCGAAGAATTTGTTACTCAAATACGCTGATGTTTTCTCGTCAAACGAAGCTGACATAGGAAAGACTGGCTTGGTTTAACACAAAATAAACACAGCCTGTAGCACGTGAAAAGGCAGTGGAAGCCATGATTGAGGGAATGGTGAAGAATGGTGTTATTGAACCTTCATCTAGTCCATGGTGTTTATCTGTGGTGATGGTAAAGAAGAAGGATGGCAGCATGCGGTTTTGTGTTGACTACCGCCATCTAAACGACGTTACGAAGAAGGACAGCTATCCCTTGCCAAGAATTGATGACACGCTGGACATGCTTACAGGCGTAAAGTGGTTTAGTACGCTGGACCTGAAAAGTGGCTACTAGTAGGTTGAAATTGACCCTAAGGACAAGGAGAAAACTGCATTTTCCACATGAAAGGGTCTGTGGCAATTTAAAGTCATGCCGTTTGGATTGTGCAATGCTCCAGCAACGTTTGAAAAGTTGATGGAGCTTGTACTTACCGGGATAATTGGAGATGCCTGTCTGGTCTACTTGGATGATATTATCATCGTAGGCCATACGTTTGAGGAACACCTTCAAAACCTGGAACGCATGCTCATGAAGATCCAGAGTGCCATCCTCAAGTTGAGTCCGATGAAGTGCTCACTATTCAAACGGCAAGTTAGATTTTTGGGGTATGTAGTGTCGGAAAAAGGTATCCGCACGGATCCAGAGAAAATTGCCGCTGTCAAGGATTGGCCGGTTCCAAAAGACAAGACACAGGTTAGAGCATTTTTAGGTTTGTGCTCTTATTATCGACGATTTGTGAAGAACTTTGCAGAAATAACCAAAATCCTGCACAAACTAACCGAGGAAAAGCGACATTTCTGCTGGGATGAAAGTAGCGATATTGCATTCCAGGAGCTCAAGAACCGTCTGTGCAAATCACATATTTTGAGGTACCCTGATGCGGGCAAGGAATTTATAGTTGACATAGACGCAAGTGATATAGGACTTGGCGGTGTGTTGTGTCAACGGAATGGTGGTCAAGAGATTGTGATAGCGTACTTCAGCAAGTCGTTGTTAAAGCCGGAAAGGAACTATTGTGTCACAAGACGGAAATTGCTTGCTGTGGTAAAGTCCTTGCAGCATTTTAGCAGATATCTTCTGGGGCGAAAATTCCACTGACGAACTGACCATGCTGCACTGAAATGGCTATTGCAGTTCAAAATTCCGGAAGGACAAGTTGCGAGATGGATTTGCAGGAATACGACTTTGTGATCAAACATCGCAGCGGGAAATCTCATGGCAATTCAGATGCATTATCAAAAAGACCTTGCCCTGAATATTGCATGCATTATACTAGGCAATATAATAGGCTCAGCAATGAGTGGAAGGACAGCCTACAACATGCACAGCAGGAAGATTCGGACATTAAGCCGACTCTAGAATGGATGAAGGTCAGTGCTCCTAAGCCCAAGTGGAGCGACGTCTCAGCAATGGGTTCGACAACGAAAAGCTATTGGGCCCAATGGGACAGCTTGTTGATTCAGGATGGAGTCCTGTGCCGTAAATGGGAAAATGGTCGGGAAGACAGTTGTCATTTGCAAATGGTTGTCCCTAAGGCTAAAGTACCGGATGTGCTACAGCTGTACCATTGTGGTTGTTTAGGAGGCCACCTGGGAGTTAAACGAACTTTACTGAAGACGCAAGAACGGTTTTACTGGTTCCACTGCCGTGACGATGTCGAGGACTGGTGCCGCAAATGTACAAGTTGTGCGGCTGTAAAGGGTCCTCAAACTCGTAGTAGAGACGCATTGAAATTGTACAATGTTGGTGCACCATGGGAGAGGATAGCCATTGACGTTGCGGGACCGTTTCCGCAAAGTGAAAGTGGTAACAAGTATTTCATGGTTGTGATGGATTACTTCACTAAGTAGCCAGAAGTCTTCGCTATTCCAAATCAAGAAGCTTCAACAGTTGCAGATAAACTAGTTCATGAAGTCTTCTGTCGTTTTAGAGCACCTTTAGAGATTCACAGTGATCAAGGAAGGAGTTTTGAGTCTCAAATATTCCAGAAAACTTGCCGAGTTATGGGTACTCATAAAACAAGAACAACTTCTTACCACTCACAATCAGATGGAATGGTAGAACGATTTAATTAGACATTGGAGAGGTATCTAGCAAAAGTTGTGGAAAAACGGCAACGAGACTGGGACAGGCACATACAACCGTTTTTGTTGTCATATCGAAGCGCTGTTCACGAAAGTACATCAGTGACACCAGCTTTCCCAAACTTTGGGAGATAATTACGGCTGCCTGCAGACTTGATCACCGGAATACCACCTGATGCCCCACGCAGTATAACCGATTATGCAAATGACTTGCGGAACAAAATGAATGACATTTATGAGCACGTCAGACAGACGGGCCAGCAAATGTCTGAGAAGATTAACACGGTATGACCGCAAAATGAACAGCAAAGGGTTTGACGAAGGTTCACTAGTGTGGTTACCCAATCCAGCTTACCTGATTGTGACAAGGATCAATGACGTAACCTACCGAATACAGAAAGGTGCCAGAGGTACTCCTAAGATCGTCCATGTGGATCGACTGGCGCGTCATTATGGGGCCAGTAATGCTCGGGACGAGCATGTGTTAGGAGGGGACAGTGTTGCGCGCCACTATTAATGTCTTGTACATGGCAACACTAGTTACACTAGCGCCCTCTAGTGTCGAGTAGCAGAACTAGGAGAGTCAAGATCCTTCTAAAAATTTCGGGACCGATATGTACTTGAACATTCTAGATGTCGCTATAGTAGAAGGTTCTGGAAACTATCTGAGGCCCTATATAAGGACGGTACAGACCACGACCGGGGCAGTATTGAATTGGCGATATATAAGCGAATACTTCGAAGCGATACAACGGCGAACTAGTGATCAGTAGTAAAATTGTGTTCTATTGTTAGTGTGGTTTTAATATGTAATTAGTATTTTGTAATTAAAGTGTCGATTATGGTAATTCAATCGGCAGTTTTTAATTGTCTCGAACCCAAAGCCCGTAACAATAACAAACGGGCACACAGTCCACCTAGGTGAGTTAGTTTAAGTGTGAGTGGGTAAGTGTAACTATATGTTGTGAGCCATGGATACTTAATATGTAAACGTCCTACTTAATTTGTATACTCGGATGTATATGCGATTAAGAATGAAAATGCAGAGACTTTGTCACGCCTTAGAACTAAGAAGAAGTGCCTCATTACCAGTAAAATATTTCAGACAATGAAGCTGATAGGGTAGTGGATGTAAACGAAAGCATTTCTTTGGACCTGTCAATTCTGGCGAAGGTGAAATAGGTTCTACATGGTTTTTGTCGATATAAACCGCTCACTAGAACGGGCATGCAAAGGCCTGTGCCAATCAGAAAAAGAACGGAATTAAATGAATTTGTCTGGATGTTTTTTTTTATAGGATCGGGTGACAAACGAGCACACAGTCCACCTGATAGTAAGTGGTTACTGTGACCTATAGACATCTACATCTATCCTCAATAAAGACTCAAGATGCAGATACGTTGTCACCCGTGAGGACTAAGATGGAATGCCTCTTTGCCAGTAAAAAGGGTCTCCGGTTCTCTACACTCACCATACGAAACACAGCAGCGTTAAGCTGCTATTTTACGCTGGTTTTCTGTGAGAGCGTGGTCCTTCCCCGTTCGAGCCGAACCATTCGTGCTACAACCATAATATAGCTGCAGCATGGCTCTACCACGTAGAAAATGTTAATTATAAGTTAACTGAGTAGAGGCGGTGTAAGAATTTCCACTAAGACATGGGTGTTCTAAGAGGCGTCAGAGGGAATCTAAGGGATGAACAGCATTTATATTCCTTATAACAGCTGAAGAAAAATAAAGAACTCCGGTTGCTAGGCAACATGACCCCTGCAACTATGACAAATATCGCCCCTATGATTCAACTATAGGGGAGGCCTTTATTCAGCAGTGTACTTTTGATGGGCTGTATTGGATATACACGTAAATTCGAGACACTCTCTTAATATGTCTATATGTATATATATTCTTTAGTAACTCTCGAAATAGACAAGAAATATATAAATTGAAATATTGTATCCATCCTTATACTGATCATCATCATCATTACAGCTATTCACAATTCCATCGATAAATATAGGCCTCCCGAGCCACTAGCATCTATTGACTTCTTACACCTCTTACCTAGTAGTCACTTTATCTAGTAAGGAGCAGCCCTACATTTCGGTTACTGGTACGACACTGCCACTCGAGAACTTTTCTTTCCCATCGGTAGTCGATTCTTCTTGCCGGCCCATTACCACCTTCACTTACTTAGCCGTTGGGCTACACCTGTTATACTAGCTCTATTGCAAATATCTTCATTTTGTACTCTACCACGCAGAAAAACTTCGGCACAAATCTCTTCATAACCTGCTGAGCAAGGTTTAGGTTCCCAATTCTGTCACTGGCAAAAGACCATCTCACGTCTTAGAACCATATGTTATCTACTTGCAACGCGTACTGGTTATACAATTTTCAAGTTTTGAGGAATACGTGACGAGAAAATATGTCGTAATCTCTCGAACGCTTTGGAATAGCTAATTCTAAATATATAACGCTTCTAATAAATAATATTCTATAATTAAAATAAAACAAGTTTTAAATAAATGTAAAAATAATAAAACAAACGCGAGGTACAGTGTACCTCGCGCAATAAAAACACTACATTTTCCTAGATGAGAGTTAGAACGTGATTGGCATTATTGCGGTAAGGCACTTGAGACGAATGAAGGCTATATTGTTAAATCAAGGTATGTAATAATTGAAATAGCTTAACATTTTGATCAATTTTAATTTTGGAACACATACTAATTTTCTCCCTGCACAGGCGTCCCTCTAAGTAGCTTCTACCGTCTGAACTATGTCTACCGCCAAGCTACAGTATATGCATTGCTGTATTCCGGTCTAAAAGGTTTAGAATCCAGTATCATTTCAGGCTATAAAGCATCCTATCTCAGTCCTCAGAGATAATAATACTGCAACCTTTTTTGCTTCAAGTTGGTTGCAGGTGCCCATTGGCTGCATAAAGTCCTCTTTTTAAAGTTTTTAAAACGCGAGCAAGCCAAGGTAGACTCCCACCTATAACAATGAATGTGTTTATTACAATTTTAAGAACTGATTTACCACATACTTTTAGGTGAAGGAAATCTGTATAAACTCGTATTTCGAAGACATGAGACGTCTTACATTTTCCTTCCCTAAGAAACCTCTCAGAAATGTGAATACGCCTGCTATAATATTCTTTTTATGAGCCCTGTGCTATTTATATAGATTGTTACTTTACGTTTTAATTTTAATAGCATGATTTTATACTGTAATTTCAAGACTGATTTTCTACGTGGTAGAGTCACGCTACAGCTATATTAGTAGTATAGTTGTAGCACGAATGGGTCGCCTCGACGGGGGAAGGACCACGCTCTCACAGAATACTAGCGTAAAATAGCAGCTTAACACTGCTGTGTTTCATATGGTGAGTGTAGAGAACCGGAGACCCTTTTCACTGGAATGAGGCATTCCATCTTAGTCCTTACGGGTGAATACGCATCTGCATTTCGATTCTTTAATGAGGATGGATGTAGATGTCTATGGGTCACAGCAACCACTTACCATCAGGTGGAATGTGTGCTCATTTGTCACCCGATCCTATAAAAAGAAGGCATAATTATTTCTTAACTTTTAATTTACTTATTTTAATCCTCGACATTTCGGGTGCTTTACAGCAACCTATGGTCACGGGGGGAATGATATGTTTGACATCCCGATGTCATAGTTAGCATGGCTACCTTCAGCCAACCTTGACTGTGAGTCACAGACAAGATTGCCTACACCTTAAAGCGAGCTTCCATTAAAACATTCTTTAAGGCGCCGAAGAGTCAATTTTTACCATCCGTCAAGTGCAATATCCCTTTACAAGATGCAGGAGTGTACAAGTTTGATTGCGAATGTGGTCTCTTACATAGCACAAACAAAAAGCTCTATTACAACCCGCGTGAAAGAACATATAGCTGACATGAGGCACTGATGCTCTGGAAAGTCTTCAGTCTATGAACATGTTCATGATCGTCCCCGCCATCAGATTTGATAGACCACAAATACTCGCAAATAAAACTCCGATTCCTATTTAGGATGATACGCGAAGCTATTGAAATTAATTAAAAAAACCATCCTTATTTCAATAAAGAAGATGAATAGGTGCTGCCATCTGCTTGAGACTCTATAAATAACTAAATTAAATCCAAACCCAAGCATTCCCCACTGCAAGGCTTTAAGATACTGTAAGCTCAGTCTGCGTAGATTGAACCAAAAATAAATATTAAAAAAATGAAGGTAGCCGGGATAACTATGAAATAAGCACGTCAAACATCTCAGACCCCCCGTGACCATGGGTTGCTATAAGCATCCTGAACGTCAGGAATTATAATAAGTAAATTAAATGCGATAAAATCCGTAAACATAATTTTATTTAATTTTGGATACTATTTTTCTCATGTTAAAAAAAATAAAAACAAACACTGACGCTTGTCATCCAGCGAGGTAAGCAAATACTACGTACTTCCATTTGGCACGATTCTGGCACACCTTTCCTGCCTCCTTTACATACATGCTGTTGGTTAAGGGTGCTTTTAATCTGGCCTGTCTTCAATATATCGCACAGAACCATGCCCATTTTTCATACATTTAAAAAACTGATAGTGAAAGTTTATGTTATAAGGTATAGTAGAAAAACTTCCTGTAAGTTTAGAAAATAATGTCATGTTGTCATTTTTACGATTTATTTAAATCCGGTAGTACCCCGACCACCAAAGACCCCGCAAATTTTAGACCTATTTCTGTACTACCAACACTTAG